AATGAATTCTAATAAAACATTAATTCCAATAATAAATACATTAGTTAATTTATTCAAATAATACATATATTTATACATAAATTGTTTAATAATTACTTTTAAAGGTAGTGTTTTATGTTTTACAAGCACACACAAACACCCAAACACCCACACCCAACCACCCACCCACCCACCCACCCACCCACCCACACACACACACACACACACACACACACACACACACACACACACACACACACACACACACACACACACACACACACACACACACACACACACACACACACACACACACACACACACACACACACACACACACACACACACACACACACACACACACACACACACTAAATCGGGTTCTAATGATTATTACACAAAAAATTGTTCCTGAGCACCAAGTTAGCATATTACAATTTTTTACTGATCCATATTATTGATTTTTGAAGGACCATGTGACACTGATTATTGGAGTACTGGCTTCTTTCGCGGTGTTTCTTATTAAATTAAAGGATCACACTTTACAATAAGATGTATTTACTAACATGAACTATGTATTAACAATACCTGTACAGCATTTATCAATCATAGTTCAGCATTTACTAATGCGTTCTTAACCTCAAATTCATACTTGTTAACATGAGTTAATGCGCCGAGAAGAACTAACAATCAACAACTGTATTTTCATTAACTAACATGAACAACTACTGTAGTATTGTTCATTGTATGTTCATGTTAGTAAATGCATTAACTAATACAACCATTTGGTAAAATTCCACTAATAAAAGCAGCTTTTTTTTTTAGCATAAACCTGTAATATACCAATGAAATGTTTCCCCTGTTTTGTACTGACCTGCCGATCTGAGCAGCGAGATCTTTGGCTCTGTTTCGGGTGTCTTCAGAAGAGTTTTCACTAGCCATGTAGCATGTGGTAAAGAGGCGTCCACACAGCTCTCGCGGGTCCTGAGGCCTGTAGGACGAGTCTCCGACCACCCGCTGAACATCCTCCAACACCTGACAGTCTGAGAAGAACAGGGCCCAAGCTCAAGCCTCTAAAACAGCTGCTTATTATGTTCTGAAGAGCTTTTGTGTGTTTGGACTCACTGCCATGCTCAACAGCCTGACATATTTGCACACACATGGAGTACACAATACAAGCACTGGATGAACTGTCCACACCACCACTGAGAGGAAGAAGAAAACCAGCCTGAAAACAACAAAACATTCAGGTTTTTTTTTGCTAAAATGATACTGTTCTTTATCATTAAAAAAATCCCACTTTATATTACAGTAAGTGCCCTTAAAGCAGGGGTGGCCGCCCCTGCCTTAAAGGAACATTCCACACAATTTTTTTATAATTGTTTATTTATTTATTTATTTATTTATTATTATTATTATTATTTATTTTTTATTTTTTTGAAAAGGCTCATTTTACAACTCCCTTTGAGTTAAAAGGTTGAGTTTTACTATCTTTGAATTCATTCAGCCAATCTGGGGTCTGCTGTGAGCACTTTTAGCTTACCTTAGCATAAATCATTGAATCGGATAAGACCATTAGCATCTTGTTTAAAATTTTACAGAAATTTTTTTTTTTTTTTTTATATTTTGATTATATGGGCGAGGCAGTGGCGCAGTAGGTAGTGCTGTTGCCTCACAGCAAGAAGGTTGCTGGGTCGAACCTCGGCTCAGTTGGTGTTTCTGTGTGGAGTTTGCATGTTCTCCCTGCCTTCGCGTGGGTTTCCTCCAGGTGCTCCGGTTTCCCCCACAGTCCAAAGACATGCGGTACAGGTTAATTGGGAAGGCTAAATTGTCCGTAGTGTGTGTGTGAATGTGTGTGTGTGAATGTTTCCCAGAGATGGGTTGCGGCTGGAAGGGCATCAGCTGCGTAAAAACTTGCTGGATAAGTTGGCAGTTCATTCCGCTGTGGCGACCCCGGATTAATTAAGGGACTAAGCCAACAAGAAAATGAATGAATCATTGAATGAATGAATGAATGAATATTTTAACTAAAGCAGGGGTGTCAAACTCAATTCCTGGAGGGCCGAAGCTCTGCACAGTTTAGTTCCAACCCTACTCCAACACACTTACCTGTAGGTTTCAAACAAGCCTGAATGACTCAATTAGTTTGATCAGGTGTGTTTAATTAGGGTTGGAACTAAACTGTGCAGAGCTGCGGCCCTTTTGGAACTGAGTTTGACACCTGTGATCTAAAGCTTCACTCGTTTTAGATAAAAAAAAATAAAGTTGCTATTTTCTATGCTGACATGGATAGGAACTAAACTCTCATTCTGGGGAAATAATCAAGTAACTTATTATGGATATCATGCAGTGCTGTTACAAATTTACCTAGCTAGGGGTGGAATATCTAAGTGTCTGGAATGAGTTGTCTGAATAAAACAGCTAACTGTACTATGCACCGGGTTTCGGGCAGCTGTTGCTATCCGGCAATGTTATAGACTGTACCAAAAAGCTGAGGACTGGAGGGGGGTTGGGGGAATTGTGGGAGTTTTCCGGGAGAAATGACAAAAAGGAAGGATGATGGGAGATGGATCTGAAATATGGGAGATGCCTGGGAAAAACGAGAGGTATGGTCAGAATTATTAGTGCAATTACGCAGTGGCGCAGTAGGTAGTGCTGTCGCCTCACAGTAAGAAGGTTGCTGGTTCAAGCCTCAGCTGGTCAGTTGGCGTTTCTGTGTGGAGTTTAGATGTTCTAAATGCGTTCATGTGGGTTTCCTCGGGGTGCCAAAGTTTCCCCCACAGTCCAAAGACATACGGTACAGGTGAATTGGGTAGGCTAAAT